TTTTAATGTCTTAGTGTTGACTATTCCAAGTCTATTTACCCACGTTTGTTTGATCTTCTATTTCCAACGTTCAACTATTGATAAGACTTTTGTGATCGTATTTTATTTGATTACTCTTACTACTTACTATCAGTACATCTGTCTTCTTACTACTATCTACTTGTACATTTACCCATTATGTGTGGTGACCTATTCTATGTCATTGTGATTATTGACCCATATTGCCTTGATTGGCTTAACATTGTCGTATAAATATTCATGTATATTAGAGTAAAGCCTGATGACGATCTAATTGAAAATAACATTGTAAACAAGTACACAGTTACGTTGCATGCGGTAACTTTACAATGAAGTAACATTGTCTTTATTAAGTTGAAGTTGTTTTATTCAATCACCGGATTGAATCCATCAATAATCACATGTATCTTGAAAGTATTATCGTCTACTTTTCACTTCAACTAACTCTCATATACACATTAGTCAAATGGATTGTAAACTAATCGACTGAAATCAGTTTCTCATAAGTAAAAAGGAAAAAGAGTATCACGTTGATTGTGATAGTGAATATGAGATTTATGATGTGTTAAGCACTCAATGTTCAATACATTTTTCACTCGTTTCAACCAAAATCTGCTTGTTTCACAAAGATAATTAATGTAGACTAAACCTAGTCGCGGAGTGATCATCAACTGTGGGATGCAGACACACTCAGCTGATGAGTCGCGAATAGGACGAAACGCGTGTCAAACTGGATTCCACTACTAACCACTATCCATCTTTGTTTAAAAAACTTGTAACTTAAGGATATATTGAGGCAATAATCCGCACAGGATGCACATATGCTAACACGAGACTGATCAATCGCAGTCCTGAATAACAATGGGAAGGTACAAGTAAAACAATACCAAGTGAATTTATCGTATTTTAATTCAGCTAAGGGAAATTATAGAGTACGTATTGTGCCGAATGTTAGAAATCTACTCATCTTTTCTAGAGTATCAAAATGGATTACTATAGGACAACATTATTATTCTATCATTGTTTAAACATTATACAATGATAGATTGTTGTTGCATGTGCTTGAATCCTACATTACTAAAAGCATAGATATTTACTATTTACTATTCAGTCTATTAGAAATGGTAAAGATAAGAGATTTCCTCTTCAAATATTAATCTAAACCAATTCAGTTCATATCAACAATGAATATGAATTACATGGATTATACTGGATACATCCTGTATATATAGGCCCAATCTTTGGCGATTTCCCCAAAATACCCCGAAATTTCCCCAAACTTGGGAGATCGGGTAGTGTTATCGATTCAATTGAAATATAGATATGTCATTATGTATAATATCTATCTATAGAAAAAATGTAATGTATCATTTTACAAAACATGAACCATATTAATAATAAGTACAGATTATCTGGTTGAGGTCGGTATGATTATAGTAATCAATGATTAGAGACTTTGAATGACATCCTTATCTCCTCTTATCCCGTTTTCAGTCTAGTTGACCTTTTTATTTTGATATATATAGATGCTCTTAACAAGTATGTAATGTGTGATCAGATTGTTCGAAATGTATTGCGCTAATATATCATCATCACATAGTTCTGATAATCTTATTATCAAGGGGACTAATTGTTTTGAATTTCTTAAAAGTAGAAGACTAACTGCACACTTGAATTGTATCCTGGAAGTTACAAATTGATTCCAGGCATTCCTTCATGGTGTAGCTTCAATTGACTCATCAAGTCAATTATTAAATTACATAATTCTATTGCGAAAAATAACCTACATTCATTTCAGTTTGAATATCGATGTATGTGATGAAAGAAACTGGTTGGATAGAGGATGGATCCAATTACTTATTGACGAATAATGCCAAGTAGTCGTTAGTTGAATTCCATCCTCTCTCTGTTTAGGCTGTTCTTGTTTGTTCACAAATCCCTTTTCTCATAATAATGATAATAATAATGACAGTAGAAATATGAATCTCGCGTGTACGGGATCGTGCATGCACACTGCTGAGGATTGCCATACTAGGAGAGGAGGGCCATCCAATGCTTCCAGGTTTTCCATGGTGGTCTAGCTTCAATTGACTCATGATTTCAACCATTGAAATATGTAGTTGATTATTCTTCTGTTACATGCACATCAGAAATAATAATTTTTCAACCTTCAACTTGCACTTTTATTTCGTTTTGTTTATTCTTGAATAGAACAACAAATTTTACACCTAATATCAATCATTCATAACTCAATGTTACACACACACACACACACACACACACGTATACTCACACAATTTGTTCAGTGATTATTTTCACTTTGTGACCTGTTCACAAAATTCGCATTTATTAACTGACTCATGTTATTCTATTTACTAAGGTCAATATTCTATCAACCTAACAACCTACTGTGGGAGAGAACAAACGAAACTGCAACGGAGGAGGATGAAATCAGGAAGAAATACTGGAAGTGGATAGGACACAGATTGAGGAAAGCACCCAACCCAACTGCATGATAGGGCAAGCCCTCACTTGCAATCCTCATGTGCAAAGGTGACGTGGAAGATCAAAGAACACATTATGCGGAGAAATGAAATGGGCAGTCATGAGAAGAATGAAGAGCTGTTCGATAGAAGCAGAAGCAGAAGAAGAAGAAGAAGAAGAAGAAGAAGAAGAAGAAGAAGGAGGAGGAGAAAGGAATGCTAAGCATATATTGTGTTGGAGGCGTTCTATGCTCCATTGGGGTAACAGACGTAAGTAAATAAGTAAGGTCAATATCTAAATATGATTGAATTAGCACAGAATAGATTTGATTTGATTTGATTTGATATGATTGCTATACACTATATATTTCTTCGATGATTTTGATTATATTCCTGAAGAAGTCTAGACAAGTTTGCTGGACGAAACGTTGGAATGATTGTAAATTTCAATCACGGAGATTATTTCAAATATAATTTTCCCATATAATGACTTGTCTATAGTTGGCGCCCAATTGTTGTGAAAATATTCGTTCTAATATTGACGAATGTTCGTATAAATTGTAAGTAGTATAGTTTATAACACACGAAAACATAGTCGGATAATGATGAGATGGCAGTGAAAGTGATTAGGGGAGTTAATAATTCTTATCATAAACATGATGAAAATTGTTGATTGTAGTAACTTATAGTGTTCATCGTTACGTATATAATTCATTGGCTTATAAATCCATATCATCAAAACTGTTACGTATAGTCTGTTATATGCGTACCTGGTTCTACGTTGTAACTGACTGATTGACTGATATGACTTTGGATATAGATGTGTTTGACTCAACTGATGAAATATACATCTTAATTCACTTCTTATACATCGTTTCCTCCGCTTGAATATGGTTTATTCTCTTCCATTGTAGGTTGTTGCTGACCAACATATCCGAAGTATTTTACATAGACAATTGTCAATAAATAGTTGTATCTTCTGCATGATGGCTTTCCTAGTTCTCCAAGTTTCTGCCACATACAATAGAACTGTCTTGACATTTGTATTGAGAATTCTGACCTAGATGTTGGTTGACAATTGTTTTGAGTTCCAGATGTGGTTCCAGGTGTTTCCATGGTGGTCTAGCTTCAATTGACTCATGATTTCAATCAGTGAAATTTCTGACATCTTCACAAGCTGCTTCTCACATAACCATTTGTAATTGATCACCCATCATATCATGATATCAAAGTGTAGAGTTTCAGCTGAATCGAATCTATATTTTGTGTAACTTTCTTGATAAATACAGAGAAATAGATGACTAGATATTATTTATTAGTAGTCTACTACTTGAAATCAAACATTTAGCTTTGATGGATTTATGATTTGAATGAAATGCAGGTTGGTCTAGTGATTGAAGAGACGTAAAACAAACCAAAACATTATCTCCTCATCAGGATTCTTAGGATATGCGAAGTTCATTTACGAAAAAATCAAGGAAATTTAGGGAAACACATGATCATAAACAGTCAGAATACATTGTCACCTCACGTTACCATTCACTGTTGACGTAATTCAATACAACTATACACATGTTTTGAGATGAACAAGATTTGTTGATTATAACTACGTTTAAACGGCCTGGTTTGAGATAATCAAGTGTTAAGCATGTACACACTGCTTCAATCCTCAGTCAGTCAGCTACAACGTAGAATCAGGCACATATATATATATCGGTCCAAGTTGTCATATCTCATTAACACAGTAAGATGAACACCGGACTCATAGTAGTTAATTCAATGGTGGAAGTATATAAAAGAAAGATTGCATATAATGATATGGTTCAGGAAGAAAGAAAGATATGAAGCGATTTTAATCTCATATTTTAAGAGGAGATGTAGAGTGTATACACATAAGTCATTGTGATCAATTCTGAGCCATGACACACAGAGTCTCCAACCATTGGTTTCGATAGTCACACGCAACACAACCAAGTAGTCTACATCTATCATTATGGCTTATGCTAGAAGTTAGTGATTTCAAGGTGTGATGCCATGTTTTGGTTTGGCAACCCCTAACTTCCAGCCATCCCGAAGTACATCATTCGTACTATAGAACATAGTACTATAGTAATGAAGTGAAGAAGTAATAGTCAACTGAACGGGTGTTAAATGATGTAAGTAATTCATAATGTTGAATTTGGGATACTTATTACCTGAATATGTCAGTCAATGAATCAGCTAATAAAGCTAGAAATATCATTGATAATTTGGTTCTAGCTCAGCCGTCTGAAATAAATCTCTGAAATGTATGTTTAATTTTGACATTTAGTCATTGGTGAGTATTCCTGACGTAATACTGGTCAGTGCTCTACATTCTTCATTCATTTTACAGTTGATTTCAAATTGAGACTAAACTTTCAACTTCAGGTGGACAATGTTTTGTGTGTTTCAAGTTTACTGAAAGATAATTTCTGATGATCGTTTCAAATTTATACTTCTGACGACTTACAAATCTTCATGTCTTTGTATTTTTCAAAGAGCATAGGTATTGGATTAGAACAAAATCCATATTTTCAAGAAGTTATGACTGGGTTGGAAAGCAATTGGAAAGTAAGTTTAAACATTTTGATACATCATTACATTTGCAACGATTTACACTTTGTATATCACTGTCCTTTTCAAGAACAATTGCACTGAGACTATAAATTATGGACGAACTGTGAGCGACTCTGAATGGATCTAGAGACAGCTCACCTACTTGTTTAATGTGGTTGGCGTTCTTTTAACAAGAATTTTTCTACGGGATTGGGTGTCTGACCTTATACCCAACCCTCCCCCTTACCAGGACTTGGAACCAGCAGCAACTCTAGAAGAGCTACAGGCCGAGTTAGCTCACCTACTTCAAAGTGTCAAAATGAGGTTATAAATTAATGTGAGGTGTTACGATTCGGATGTCGAGTTAGAATTTAAGCTTACGAATAAAAATGAGGATTTTCATCACGAACTGCAAACAGCCATAATGCTAAAATGTTATTTAACTATGTAGATGAATTGAATTCGCGCGACAATCCAAGACATGCTATCCTCAATTTCACTGGTTTGCCGATAAATAATGTTCTCGCACAAACTGCTTTTTATCAAGCAATAATCATTCAAAGCTAATTACTTCTCCCTTATTTATATCAGATTGCAGTCATGGATGAAGATGATTGATTTGCGAACTTGTGAAAACCTTGTTTGTTTTGTAGTGACGTTTGAATTGTGTCCATCAAGTTGAAATGTACTTACTAACCTATTAAACTTTGATTGACAAAAACATCCTGGAAACGAGTTTTGTGTAATGCAGTACTTGTAAACTGGAAGGTATATGCAGAATCTTGAGGAATTATGATTATCTCAGTGAGATGCGTAGTCACCTCCTGGTTTAGATTATTAAAGGACTGTTATAATACATAATCAAACGTTCTAAATAGCTTTTATACTGATTGCCGTTAGGCCAATGCCATAGCTGAATACCTAGAACATCAACTTCTGTGCAATCAACTTTACTTCTTCTGTGCAAAGTATGGTGGATCATATGCATAATGTTTATTTTAGGGTTATGGATATAATAACGGTGTTCTGTTACTTCATCTGTCTAAATTACGATCAACCAATTGGAATCATCTATGGTTGAGCATAACTAGAAGAGCTATTAAACGTCAAGGTTACTTAATCACTGGTGAAAAGGTAGGTTCAAACTTCTTACATATTCATTATAACTACTTTTAATGACTGCCAATACCTATATGAAGATACCGATTTGCAAATTTCTACCAAACACACGGTTCTAAGGTATATACAATCTCACCATTAGAAAGTTGGTTCTAGTATAATTAGTGCTTCCTCATGAGAACAAGGAGACTTTTATTATTATGTATTACCATACTTAACTAAATAGAAAACAGAGAGCTTTAAACTCATCAACTTCATGTACAGTAATTCATCTGTTTTAAAATATAAACACCAAATACAATATGTACTCAGAAAACTCATTTAAAGTTATTGTGTAATGGGTAAGCTTATATTATGTTAAGGGATGTGAGCGACTCCTCAAATTGTACATTCCTCATTTTCACACAGTCTGAAGAAAGGTATGCATTCCAGTTGTCCCTTATAGACTCTTATCATTATTTGAACATATTTCCTTACGGGTAGAATGCAACTACATTTTACAAGCCTCTCAAAGTCATCATTCTGAAATCTATCATTATATTTAAGGGAAACATACTACACGTGATCATCTAAAATGATTTAAGATTCTGACTTTTAGTGTTTCTTTCTATCTTTATTGCATTCAAACGCTTTAACCGTGATAAGTCTGTATTACGTTCTCTGTCATTACTCGACACCCTTCAATTATTTTGCATATTGTTTATACTACTTAATAATATTCAGTAGGTAGCTGCATTTTCATCAATTTCTACGCATATGCGATGAAAATGATCTCGATGGTCTAGTAATAATATTCCGACACAAGACAATGAATGAGTTTTGAGCGTTCTTTAAGCCCTAACGCTTCAGGCTGGGCTATTTTGTTTACTACCCTACATATGTGTTGTATGCATTATAAGAAGTAGTGCTATGTAGAGCGGAAGTTCTCATATGAGACTGGAGGTTCGCCATTGATATTGTGGATGATTTGGCAAGTTTTGCTGACTGTTCATGCGCAAAATTGGTTTGCTGGTTAACCGATTTCATTTATACACAGATGCAGTTATTTACTCAATGAAACAAACCATCTGTATAATGAAAGTAGGCTTGTTGCTACTATGTTAAACTTAGCAGTGACTCACTCATAAAGATATTTGGCAAAAACCAGTGGTTGAGAGTTGTTCTATTTTCAGTTATAACTTATGTTGTAGCTATTGACCTAGAGTTCACCTACTGAAACCATAGCGAGCGTTGAAACTTTTCATCCGGGCAATGATAATCTCTCAGCTTGATAAGTACCGCATTTCACTACTCCTATCCTGGAAGTTCATCAACCTTAATTCGTAGTTACAATATAACAGTTCTAGGGCTCCAAAAGCCTAACTAGTAACTTCTTATTACCTTAATCGTTACGATTCAATCAGTAGTGAGAAGGACTTGACATACTCGATATTGGTTACAATTATACTCTTCTGATCAGTGCCAAATTGCACAAAATCTTGAACACCAGTATCCATTCAACAATCTCCAACTATCACCTTACATTTGAACTTAGTTTACGCGATGTCAAGTCACTAGATTTTTAGAGTCCACATTGCCACTTGGTCAATGGAATACTGTCAGGATGTATAACAACAGAATCAAGATTTATATTTTATCAGTGGAGTCAATCACATCTATATCCAGTAACAGCGTTCAACAAACCCTTATAAACCTCTCCCCTACAATCCATTTTTCATCAGTTCGTATTCATTTTACATTTAAGACAACGTTGTTTTAAGAACAAATAAACTTTCTTATAAAACAGTAACTAACATGACTAATCATAAAGTAGAAACGTTGGACAAAATGGAAGTAGAATTCATACAAGTCAATCATCCAAAATCACACTATTTTATCTATTCTTTATGAAAATTGGCTTCAACAGTATACAAGTTCATGCATGACAGATTTGGGGTCACATTCTTCTGTAAAGTACAGTCGATATATTATGAAAATAGAATTGACTGTTCGTTACTATTGAACTTTAGGGTTATCAAATTTACTAGATGCCAAAATATGGCTTGAACGCATAAATAAACGAATTCACTATTGTGTTGTATTAATTTTATATAAATTAATTGTGATTATTTATGTAAATAAGGGTGAACATTACTGTCCTGTCGTTAAAATGTAAATACAATGATTACTGGATACTATCACATAACATTAACAATGAGCAATTGGATTTTGAAGAACTGTAGCACACCGATATTGTACCTCATTTCCATGATATTCGAGCAATGGTCAAAGAATTCTTGATAATTTAGACAGCTGTGTAGCGATAAATAAATCTTTAAGTTCAGTAGCTCTGTAAGTCTTCGACATTTGATGCTGACCACATTAGTTTTAATGGACTCACCTAGCTGAAGGTGTTCGGTCACACATCCGCACCACATCACGAGTGGGAACGCTGTGCTCAACTTCTCCTGCAACCGCTAGCCAGTGTTGATCAGTCCCTTCTCCATATATTGACAAGCTATCTAATTTATCTTCGAATCTCCTAGCTTCAGACTATTGATTTCACTGGATGGACACGATTCAATTACAGAAGGTATTACTGGTTAAAATGTTGTCAAACCACAAATACCTGTGGCATCATCAGCTGTATCACAAATGTCTAACTTAGCTGATACTTAGATTCTTAAACATAAATTCTACCAAGCAAAACTATAGTTTTTTCGTTTCGATGTGAGGGGAAGCGATTGCAGGAAATATTAACCCTGTACAATGTTTATTATGAGACGATGAATGTTGAAATGCTCATTGGTAAATTAATAAATCATCTAAACGAACCATATTTTTGTATGTTGAATATGTAGATTGTACTGAATTGAAACAACCTCCTGACAAAAATCTCCATCAAGCAGATTGCCACGATTTTTTAAGAGTCGTTTTGTGATTGCTAACATCTCAAAAACATTACAATAACGACAAACTATCTCACATTTACACTAATCAACAACTATTTGGTGCAAATGACAATGGTTACACAGTTTTGAAGTGAAATTATGTCAGTCAGTCAGCTACAACGTAGGACCAGGCACATATATGCATCGGTACAAGTTGCCACACCTCAATAGCACAACAAAATGAACACCGAATTCATAGAAGTAGTTACTTCACTGGTAGTAATATATAAAAAACGATTGTATATAAGGATATGATGCGGGAAGAAGGAATTAGTTCATAGAAAGTAAGTAATCTTAAGGTTTAAGTGAAGGCAGAGAGTGTATACACCTACGCCATTGTGATCGGTTGTGAGCCAAGTCACACTGTCTCCGACCATTGGTTACGATAGTCACGCGGAACACAATCAAGTAGTCTGTATCTACCAACATGGCTCAGATTAGAAGTTAGTGACTTCAAGCACTGATACCACGTTTTGATTTGGCGTTTTGTGACTAACACTTAAAAATACTACACACATTGCTTTCTTGATTACAAACTTCAGTTAAATGTCTATGCCGCCGTCGTTGCAGCTAACATCATTGTAAAATCATTCAGGCAGAACCTGACGACGTCGAAACAGCTAAGTAACTTACACCAATTAGCCATCAAATAGAAGCAAAGATCATACAGCATATTCGTTAAGACAACTAGCATTTCAACTTAATGTTCCACAGTTAGCCGAAGATAATGCAAAAGTATGTTTAAAGAAATACACATAAGAATACGTTTGTCAGAACACTGATTAAATATACAGAGCACTTGTGATGGTGTATAGATAAAATTATCACCGTTTTTTTTAAAATTATTTGTTATTTATTAGTCAAGGAATAGTGAAGCTCAAAATATGTAGTTTGATATAATTTAGTAAGCACAAAAATAATTGTTCTCGAAGGTTTCTTCGTATACCATACCACGCTAGTCATTCACTGGAGTCGTAACGTGTCCCAGAAATATTGGTAGAGTATTATTCCAGATAATCGAAACGAAGAATGAATGATCAACACGAAATTCTACCACAGGTTTGGAAGAATTAAGTGCACATCCAGCGAATATACACAAAGTGGCTGCAGCAGCTACGACACCTTCATCAATCTGTACAGAATGATAAAAGAAGTCAACAAAAATCAAACTGAAAGTAAACTGATGCATGTTACACTCAGACAGAAGTTGTTTTATTCAATACTTTATGTTTGATCGAGTATGAAATTCTTAGCAAAAAATAATGTAGCACTTCAAGAAAGGCTGATTTCAGCTCATTAATTACATGTTTTAATTATTTCCACTAGTTATTTGTTTGACCTCTGACAAAGTCATTTTGATGTACACAGTCCAAATTCCAAAGACAGAATGGAACACTATTGCTTAAACATGAACTAAAATAGCTATTAATAAATACTATCTCCGTAGAAGAGGACACATGTTTAAAGGCCTTTCCGTCAAAGAACCCCAATGAAACACCGGATACAAAACAACACCATCAACTTTCAAAATTTATCTCATAATTTAATTCGAATAGCTCTCAAGATAACAAGAACCAAAGTTGAAGTGTCAAAACCATGCTTGAGTTTCATTAATTCATAAATCTTAAAAGCCTGAGGATGATGATGATGATGATACGTATCTAAACAAGCTATCAACTGCGAATCAAGATATTTTTGACTGTTAGCATCCACCAATTACTCTATGTGACTCACGTTTACACAGAACTACGAAAGTTCATGCTTAATTGAAAAAACGAATAATCGCTTCAGTTGTTCGACTTACTTCGATTATAGACTTGTGTAAAACATCCGTTACACATAATTCCCTCGAGACGGAAATGTTCGAAAAGTCAACTGATAGTGGTCTGAATGCGTCCTTTATTTCCAATTGTTCTAAATGATCTTTTATACTAAATGAATAGCCTTCTTTGAGCTTAAATTTAGGCAGATATAAATTCAATGACGTGTCTTCAAACCTACGGGAGAGTATCGAAGAAATCCCACCATATTCACACATCAAATTCAGTAAGTCTGGCAATCCATCGTTTGAGTTTGGAAGAACAATCAATAACACATATCTAGATCAACAATAATTTGAAAACAAAGAAACACAGTTCAGCAAACAATGCAATATGTTCAGATATGTATGTGTATTCATTTTAGACAATTTATCCTACTGTGAAACTCCGCATGTAGCTATTCTAGGGCTACTGCCGGTCCCAAGCCAGGGTAAATCAGGCGGGTTGGGAATGGCTTCAACAACCTTGCTTAAAAAACGCTAACCAGAATAATTAAATTAAACCATTTAAATTCTGACTTCCGAGTTGAAGGAAGGTTTATGACGCATCATAGTGAAAACCGGGATTTTTCGCAAGTCACAAGGCCAATGCCCCTTCTAACAACCAGAACAATTTTGATTGGTACATGGAATGTTCGAACAATTTGAGGGACCAGGAGGATCAGTCAAATAGCAATGGAAATAGGGAGATACAACATAACAGTGCTCAGAATAATCGAAACCCATTAGACCCAAGCTGGACAGAAAAGGCTAAATACAGGAGAGACACTGAAGGGATGCATGGAATAAAATCGACAAATCGGAATCAATTACAAGATTTGGACTTGGCAGATGACCTGGCCTTTCTATCCCATACACATCAACAAATGAAGGTTAAAACAAATAGTGTAGCTGCAGCCTCTCAATCAGTAGGACACAAAGAACACCAACGCAATCACACTTGATGAAGAAACTCTGGAAGGGGTGGAAACATTCACGTATCTGGGTAGCGTCATCGATGAACAAGGACGATCTGATGCAGACTTACGGGCGAGGAATGGCAAAGCAGGAACAGCATCCCTACAGTCGAAGAACACATGAAAGTCAAAACAACTGTCAACCAACATCAAAAGGAGAACCTTCAATACGAACATCAAGATAGTTCTACTGTACGGAGCTGAAGCTTCCAGAACTACCACAACCATCATCAAAATGGTACAAGCATTAATAAACAGCAGTCTATATAAGATGATCAATGTCGTTGGCTGGATACCATCAGCAACAGTATATTGTGGGAGAGGACAAACCAGCTTCCAGCTGAAGAGGAAACTAGGAAGAGTCACTGGAAGTGGATACGACACACATTGAGGAAATTATCAAACTGCGTCACAAGGGAAGAGCTTACTTGGAATCCTGAAGGGAAACGGAAAAGAGGAAGGTCAAAGAACGCACTAAGTCGAAAATTGGAATCACAAATCAGAAGGATCAATAGCAGCTGGAAAAGATTGCCCATGACAGAGTTGGATAGAGAATGATGGTGGGAGGCCTATCCTCCTTCATGAGGGGCAGCATGCGTAAGTTGAATATGATGTAAATTATCCATTTATTTTTTACTTCAGTCAGCTTTAGTTAGGTTAGCATTATTTGAAGCTGCATCTCTGTCATTGAGTTGCTCGTAATCCAGTTATCAGACTATGCAATCAAAACAAGGCATTCAACAAGATGTAAGCATTAGAACACCATAAGTGCTTCATGGTCAGGTCTAAACAAACATTTTAAAACAGGTACATTAATAATCAAGCTTACTTCGGATCTTTAAACGGTATCTTGATAGCTCGCGATCCCAAATCTGGTAAGATGACCATACTGAAACAGGATAGATTATACATTAACTTCACGTTCATTGTTGATCCGTCAAGTTTGAAGAAATCGCTGTCGTGTGAATCCTCCTTACGGAAATGTGGACCCCATAAACTTGTCAAAGGTAATCACACATAGAGTTGACAGCAGATATAAAACACAGTAATAAAAAAATAAAAACTCAGGTAATAAATGTTTGATTTGAATATACTATTGTTGACGACTAAATAAATAATACTACCTTTAAAGTATGTAGTGGATAGCACAACAGCTGACGTTTCTTGCGATATAGCCACACGTGGGATCAGTTCCTGGATTGTTCCGTTGGCCTGTTCACTATCCTACTGTTTAATTCGATTTCGAGCACATTCAGGATCTGTATGAAACGCAACCTACACAAAGTTTGATAAGGCAGAACTCATACTCACATGCTCAGTCAGTGCATTGTAATGCTGCTTGATGATATTTCTAAATCGTTTCTCAATCTGCACATCTTCATTTACATAGATTCTATTTCCAGTGATTATCTCAACACTCTCATCAGACTTCGGAAGATCAGCCAGAAGTTCACCAATCGCGCTGTGGATTATTTCCTGTTCCAAGCAATCAGATAACTGCATCGCTTTTATCAACTCAGCATTCGTATTGTTTGCACTTCCACAGAGGATCATTCCGAGGGCAGTATAGATATTGGAAGGGGAGAGAAATGTATTCTCCCAATAACCTGGAAGCAACAAATACATCGTGAGGGACGCACTTACCCTTGTTTCTTTTCAAAATCTCCCTATAAAGCTTTTCGCTGAAGTTTCCAAGTGATTGTATTACATCCATCACGGTTGGAATTAGTGTGCTAAATGGTTAGCTTGAAAAAACTATTTGTAGTGGAAGAACACTACAAATGGTACGTGAATAAGTCATTATTAAGAACTGCGAAGTGATAATAGGATATTATAATATAGTAAGACGTTTTTGATCATGCAGATGCTTTAACTGATTCAGGTACATGCAATTTTCTTCATGAACATCTTAGCTTAGTGATCTCGATCTTTCTTTCAGTCTTATTCCGGAATATGCTTCAACCGAACGCATTAATTGTTTCATCATATTAAAGACTTAGTAAAAGTCTTTGTTTTCACTCTTTGTACTGTAGCTGATATGGTACATCTCATATTTCGCTCTCAAAATGCAGCGAAGTTGAAACTTAAAGGAACTAGTTGTATTAAGTCGTCTCAAACACTCTGACCAGTGATTATACCAAAACATGTCTAACTGTTTATAAAAATCCAAAATGCTTTGGTCAACTATGTCGTTACTTTCGATTTATTGGAACAGTTGTTACGGTTTCATCTCTTTACCAACGATAATTTCTTAATGAGTCCTACCAATTAATATTCATCGCATGTTCATCCAAAAATCATTACAATATTTAACAAAGAAGCGAAAAATTACGCTCCATAGTTTCGATTTTGAATGATGAAATAATTTGTCACAAACAAATTAAACCAAACAGTCCATGGTTGCAGGAATTACTAGAAGAAATAGGAGTTTCCTCAGCTCAGTAGTGAAGTGCAAAGCAAGGTCAACGAACATAATTTACAGTTTTAAATTTCCTCCACTTGAAGGTCAGTCTTCAGTAATAAGAATAGTAGAATGGTGGACCTGTGTTAATTCTAACATTGTACCTTCCAGTGAAGGTTCAGATTCTCCTTGAAAATGTTCACTGATAAGGATGACACCACTTGTTCCGGTAAAGTGTTACAGTCATTGACCACTCGATAAGAAGAACGAAATCTCACTTTAAGTTTACTATGTCTCTGTTTGTAAACCTCTTTGTTATGACCTCGGAGATTATTAGTGTTAGGCGGAGCAAAAAATAAGACAGATTGACACCCAACTCGTAACCAATTATACGAAATGCCAATATAATGTCACCTCGTGTCCTACTATACTACATGATGGAGGGGTTTGGAGTATTAAGCGCCCGTCATATGGAGCGTTTAGAGAGACCCATCATAAAGATGTAGCCTGCAGTGATAGGAGAACAGTTAATTTCAACGATAAGCCAAGTGTAGGGCCAGTGAAATGTCACTGAGCCCTAGCCAAATCATCCGGCATTTGGATCACTGAATGTCGAACAGATCGTCGCTCCCTGCCAAGGTCATGTACAACAAACGGGCATTATTTAATCATACGCCATGGACTGGCCCGTGCGGCAGTGGTCTTACTTTCGCTTGTATCTACTTTAACTAATATATTTCTGTAATAACGTCCTTTGTGTTGTACAGTCTTCAAAGCATCTACAGTACCTTGTTACGTCAATGGGGGTAGTCCACGTAAGGTGCTGACCACGAGGTGTGACTTCGACGTTAGTTGGTTCGTCACACTATTCACGTCTAACTCGAGTAGGCCTCCAATCATTTCGACATAGATCATCTACGTTGGTGACCTACACAAGTTTTATTTCAATGTTAATTGAGATTTTTAAAAGGATGATCATGCCTGTTAGGCAGGTGGCTGTTATAAATTAGGTAGAAAAGTCCACTGTGGGTATGTAATAACTGATACATAACCTACAGAATCTGCTTCCCATGTCTTAAATGATATCGTAATCTCATTATAATACACTGTACAAATGGACTTGTCGAGATAAATAAAAACCACGCGATAAAATGTTGCCACTTCCAGAATTTCCGCCGATTACGGTTTACACAAGTTTTGTGATTTTTGCTGATTGTGCTAAATCGCATGACGTACAGTTCAGTTTCAGTCGTGCCTTCAGGCTGTAAAAGAGGTATGAAGATCGGCTTTCACCACCTAATGTTAGCCATGTATACCCGTCATTCATAGAAACATCATGTTTTAGAGACGATTTGCACATGTTGCTCAATTTGTACCGCCTATTCAGAGAACTCGATGCAACTACACGAGGTACTTTATTTACTTGCAGAACAGAAGCCTATCAAACTGCCAGAGTGTTCATTGTTTGACAGTGCCCTTATTTTCTGCTAACAGATGCAGTGAAAATTTGGAATGGATTGAGTCGTATTCCTCGACATCAGGGCGAAACTAATAGTCACCTAGCTAATAAACAGATATTTGTTTTTGCAAAAGTGTATGTAGGTAGTTCGCCTAGTTTCAAAAGTCCCTCTAACTCTTAGATTTTTGCGGTTAAGTGAAGAAAGCTCGTGTAAGACCGAGGCCAACTTCTTCGATTGCTGTCATCTTGATGGTGGACAGACAATAATGTCATTTTACGCACTTGACTGCCTGGTTAATGAATTAAACTGAAGCTTCTAAATAAGGCAACTTGTAATTCTTAGTTGGATTTCTCCGTAATTGTTCTTTGTTTATTTTGGCGCTTCCACTAATAACTGAAGCAAACACGTAAACAATTAACATATCGCATGCTCGTCTCTCGTTGGAACAAAGGACATTTGGACATATTTTCTTTAGTGGCTGGGCTCACTGTCACTTTGATAAAGCAATACCTAGGTAACATTACAGGTATATGTTTAGTCTCCATCGTTTGTTATTCTGACACATTTGTCCATACTATTGCAAAACGCTCCGGCCGAACTCGTAAATTAGAAACATAGGACCTCATCGGAATTGACCGTATCAAATCTCACACGTATATCAAGACCTGTGAGCGCAGGCATTGCTAAACATGAAATTATGAAGAGCAACAATGTTTAGTTATAGACTAATGAAATCAGTAACTGTCGCTAAAACCCAAGCAACTCCCTGATAATCTTGTGAAGCGGTGCTAATAGGAAGAGTACCTGAGTCAGTTAAAGCATCTGCATGATCAAAAACGTCTTACTATATTATAATATCCTATTATCACTTCGCAGTTCTTAATAATGACTTATTCACGTACCATTTGTAGTGTTCTTCCACTACAAATAGTTTTTTCAAGCTAACCATTTAGCACACTAATTCCAACCGCGATGGATGTAATACAATCGCTTGGAAACTTCAGCGAAAAGCTTTATAGGGAGATTTTGAAAAGAAACAAGGGTAAGTGCGTCCCTCACGATGTATTTGTTGCTTCCAGGTTATTGGGAGAATACATTTCTCTCCCCTTCCAATATCTATACTGCCCTCGGAATGATCCTCTGTGGAAGTGCAAACAATACGAATGCTGAGTTGATAAAAGCGATGCAGTTATCTGATTGCTTGGAACAGGAAATAATCCACAGCGCGATTGGTGAACTTCTGGCTGATCTTTCGAAGTCTGATGAGAGTGTTGAGATAATCACTGGAAATAGAATCTATGTAAATGAAGATGTGCAGATTGAGAAACGATTTAGAAATATCATTAAGCAGCATTACAATGCACTGACTGAGCATGTGAGTATGAGTTTTGCCTTATCAAACTTTGTGTAGGTTGCGTTTCATACAGATCCTGAATGTGCTCGAAATCGAATTAAACAGTAGGATAGTGAACAGGCCAACGGAACAATCCAGGAACTGATCCCACGTGTGGCTATATCGCAAGAAACGTCAGCTGTTGTGCTATCCACTACATACTTTAAAGGTAGTATTATTTATTTAGTCGTCAACAATAGTATATTCAAATCAAACATTTATTACCTGAGTTTTTTTTTATTACTGTGTTTTATATCTGCTGTCAACTTTATGTGTGATTACCTTTGACAGGTTTATGGGGTCCACATTTCCGTAAGGAGGATTCACACGACAGCGATTTCTTCAAACTTGACGGATCAACAATGAACGTGAAGTTAATGTATAATCTATCCTGTTTCAGTATGGTCATCTTACCAGATTTGGGATCGCGAGCTATCAAGATACCGTTTAAAGATCCGAAGTAAGCTTGATTATTAATGTACCTGTTTTAAAATGTTTGTTTAGACCTGACCATGAAGCACTTATGGTGTTCTAATGCTTACATCTTGTTGAATGCCTTGTTTTGATTGCATAGTCTGATAACTGGATTACGAGCAACTCAATGACAGAGATGCAGCTTCAAATAATGCTAACCTAACTAAAGCTGACTGAAGTCAAAAATAAATGGATAATT